TTGATTGGCCGGATGTATTGCTTGAACCCCCCCCCCCCCCGTGAACTCGTAATGTTTACAGGAAAGGGGTGTAACATAATCTTAATTCAAACGGATGTCTCTTGTGAAAAGAGCTACCGTAGAGGAACTTATTCTTTGTTATAGTAAGTGTATGAGGACCACACTGCAGGCAAAATAACTTTCAAGACAAACCCGCGGACAAACTACATACACATTGCAAGAAATAAACAACAGATATCAAATCAAGTGAATGGACTCGGAGCCAGTCGTGCAGTCCTCTCTCTCTCTCTCTCAAAAAAATATGTTTTACAAGAAAGACGTAACAAAAATAATGCGACCGATCTTGTCGGTGGTCGTCTCTTATTTCGAATTACACCTCGGTTTTTCGTTCCACCTGAACGACTAGTAAATGTTGAACCAGGCCCGTAGCCCTCCCGCAAAGAGTTTGTTGAATGACAATTAGGTATCGGTTCGTCGCAAGAGTTACATATTAGTAATCCTTGGAACATTTTTCATTCCTTGACATCAAAAGTTCAGTCGAAAACAGCCGATTTGATGATTTAACGCAATGTTAGTGTTTCGTTTGAGCCGCCGTCTTGGATCTCTGGGAAGCGATCGGCGGAAGGATACATCACCTGACATTTAAAATGGCCGACGCGATTCCCCAGAGACATTCCAGCTTTGGTATGGTCATGCAGAGCCTACAGGCCTGTTCGAACTAACGAATCGCGTTTCTAAAAACATAACAGTTCGGTTTCTCATATCGGATTATAATACACTATTAGTAGGTTCCCTAGCGTTCACCTTGTGATTAATAAACAAAGTTAATTGTGGATATCAATCCACTTGATGTAAGAGAATGCAGATACTTCGTGTAATTTGCTTCGGACAGAAAGTATTACTTTGATCAAAAGTTACTGTTAATTCAATACACAATATAGACGTAATGACTACTAATCCTCTTTGGATTGATCCCGGTGTTGGCCAAGAAAATTCATCGGGGTTTTCCGGCATTGATCCCCCTGGTCAGTGGAGCAAGACAAAGGGCCTGGCAAGGGACTACGTATAGTCGTTCGGATGGGACAAAAATCCGCGGTTCCGTGAACACATTGGCGTGCACGTCAAAGAACCCTTGACAGTTGGAATTCGAAATAAGAGTTGGCTGTAGTGCCACTGGCCGGGCGAAATCTACCTCATAGCACACTGTATTTATGCCCGTCTTTATTAGCCCAGACGGTGCAGAATTGTATGACGTTAAATCTTACTTCATTTCTTTGAGTGATATGAATGTGAACTAGGGCACATATTAATAAATACCATGACAAGTAATATGATACACATTATTATATGATATTTATTCAGATTATAATCTACACCCACACGTGCGTGTAGTTTCAACAAACAAAAAATGAAATCTAGAAAATATTCCCAAAACTAGTGAGCGTATCATAGCAATATCTATTTGCATTAACGAAAAGTCACGCTCTTCTTCGGTGAAATGTTTTTGCGGCAAGCGTTTACGTCAAGACTCACAAAAAACATTTGTGTTGTGGTTATTGTCACATATGCAAAAAAAAAAGTCCAACATTAAATTTAATTCATATTACACGGCTTGGTTTTAAGAAATCCATTAAATCTTTAAGAAGATAAGAATATTGACACGATCTTATTCTCGTGAACGTTTATCAGTATAAAATGAAGATTAGCGAGGATTGATATTGCAAGTAGACGTAGATCCGTAGTAAGCGACATATAAATCTATTTATAAACGCAAACCACGTCATGGCAGTCAGCAGGCTCGACTAGATCGCCATTTTACGATGTAATGTACACGATGTTGATCTTATTATTTATGTAGTATAGTTTAATGTGAGTAGACATACACTGGATACATTCTAATATTGATAGGCTTTGGATATACATGATCAACAAAAGGTACGTGCACAGGTTATATATAACGAGTAATTGGGAATAACGGTGACCTATTATTTATAAACCAAAGCGTATATATATATATGTATGTATGTATGTATATAATTTTGTAGTAAAGGAGACGGCGAGCCGTGTATTAGGATTTTAAAGGGATAACAACAGTCCATAAAAAAACAGTTTGTTAAAGTGACGGTTCTAGTACACAGTTTGTGAAATCTTCGTTGATTTCAAGAATCAAAATTAAAATAAAAACTTAAAGTTTTGGATATGATATATTTTTAAGTGTAACCATTTTACCGAATCTGTATTATATCTTGATTTACATGTTGGTTTGAGATACCTAGCTGTCTTTTATTGGATTAACTTTTGTAGAAACTCACCCACTTTAAATTTCGTTTACAATTAGATAGGATGGCATTCTTTAGTTGATGCATTATAGGTCTATGTTACATGTGCCGAACAGTCGAAGGATGCTTTAAATAAATACGACGTGAATATTGTTTTCGTGAATCTTTTGAGAATAGAGAAATGCTGAGAACAATTTCAGGCCATTGACATCGTTAACAGATCACGAAAATCCCGAGGGTCTATAATAATTAGGTATGTCAAGATTGGCAGCTACACCAGATGAAGTGAGTTTTTAATCAATTTTCAGCACAGAATTCAAGAATATTCGACATTTCACCTTTAAATATTTATAAAGAGTTTTTTTCACTTCTGTCTCTTTCTTCTTAGAAGTGACCAAATCTGAACTGCATAGAGGAAAGATGGATTTTCTGTTGACCTCTTTTTAAGCATGCGATCGAACTTTCCCGTTTAAAAAAGTAATTTTCGATTTTACGTAATTCAGTTTAACCGGACACGTAAACATTAGAGTGCTATATTTGACACAGATTTAACAAACCTGTAGATTTAGGCCAGGTGCTTGGACCGTCGACAATTTTTTTATTTTCCGTTGCGAATTCAGAGGGGGCGTGGAAGGGGCAAACTTTGAAAAAGAGCGGGGGCGGGGGTGGCTCACACTCGCTGGCGTTTGGTCGCGAAACAATATACCACACGATATTTGATTGTGTCAGTATTCAAATTATTTGCATTTATTTTCTTGTTTAGGGTGACACTGCCCCTTTAATCGGGTTATGTGGCAAACTCGACATCATAACGAATTATACCGGAACACGATTAATCATATTAATGCAGGCCGTATGCATATTGCTGTAGTGCGTAATATGAACTGGTTTGGCAAGCTACAATGACAATAGGATTGTTACAAGGATAAATATATTACCACGTTGTTGGCCCGATTTATATATCGATTGTAACGATGTTCCTCGGCAAATTGATCGACATAGAACGTATGGTAATATAAGATGGGTGTTTGATATCATATTACATTTATGACGATGTTTCAATAAGTTACAAATCACAGAATGTAACCGGTTGTTCTGTAATTATTTTGTTCGCCGCCTTACGAGGAAAGAAGAGAATATAAAATGGATTCGTAAGTTCGTCTACCTGCACTGTCGGTCGGTATGTCCCTTCATCAGCATTAGTTGAATGTCTTGACTGAGTTTGATGATGAGATTTTTCTACCTCTACTACGCAGGCAGGCATAAGCAATTTTGGACATAAAAACTTTGATTTTAATAGAGTGAGAGTGATGGTATATAGTTTCATTACATTTATGAGCATTTTCTGTTCAGGTTAAGTAGAATTGTACGCGTATTGATTGATTGAGACCGTGGAATGCAATAACTTGGGTTCTAATTGATTCTATCATGGTTTCATTACGTCCATACCTTCACTTAGTTCGACAGTGAGCATTATCTGCTTAGGCCAAGTAAAGATCATCAATTTGATTGGTCGAAACTTTCGAAAACAATAACTTCTGATTGAAGTAGAATGTTCAAACTTGTTTATATAGATGTAATAGAAGTGCGTGTGTTGACTGAGTTTGGTTATGGTCATTTTCCAGTAGTATTAAGTTCAGATGAGCTTTTGGGTTGGTTTAGACTTTTGGAAACGGTTATAATTGGACGAGAGTGATGGATTTTACTGTATAGTTTCATTACATACCTTGATTAAGTGCGATAATGAGCATTTTCTGCTTAAGTTAAGCAGACGAGTAGACAGCTTGATTGATCGTTGATTTAAATAAAGATAAATGAGCAAGTGAATGATGAATGTGATATATTTATTTGGGATTAGGACGGGGGACATAAGCATCACTGTTGACTTGCTTAAATGGTTATTGATGGAACTAGACATCGATTTGAAATAAATTTGCATGTTATTTGTATAACTATTCACGAAATCGATTCACATATTTTAAGTAAGCTATTAGTGTGGGTCTCCGCGGATTTATTTTTGGAATAAACCTTTTTTCTTATCGGGATGTTATGTGCGCGAGTAGTTTACTTTTGTTGTCGATTTCAATCAACTTTTACTTATATCATAATATTTATGTTGCACGAACTTCTAATAAAAACCTTAGCAAATAGACCGAACAAAATGTTACCAATATCTTCACAGTCACAGACATGAATAAAAACAAATAGACACGCAAATATATTATTTTCTTTTAACGATTTTTTATATACAATGTGTTAATAATTGAACAGAACAATAATAGCTATATTTGTGTAGGCGAAAGAGATACACGATCGATTTGGATTCTGTTTTCAAACAAAGCAAATATTTGTCTTTAATTCGAAATTCAGATATGTTATGTCAAAGAATTGGGTCGATGTTTTAGTTGTTCGTTTAATGGTAGATTAGATATTCCATTGATTTTGCTCATTTAAGACAGTTTATTGTGTATGTATTACTCTCCAGATCACAGAGGGGGGTCAGGTATTATTGACCTGTTATCTTGTAACCTGTCATGCGTCAAGATAAACTGGTATATTGATTTATCGACCGTTCCTTTAGTACGAATAATCAGTTTGTTAGACATATCCATCTCAGCAACAGATCAAAGGTTTACGTACGGCTGAGAACATGTTTTCAATACATCCATCTATTTATCCACTTCTTGCTAAAGATTTAAAGGTCTTTCTTTATCTTTTCAGTATTCACGGATGATGAATATCCAGAAAACAGCCAATAGAATGAACCACCTACATCCCCAGATGTCTTTTCCGGGTGGACAACAGATAGCTTATCATGCAACACCTAGAGGTTCAATTCAAACGGGTATTTCAGCAGCTTATGGCACTGGTATTCCCATGGCCCAGCATCCACAGCAGAATTCTAAGGTTGTGACGCAACAGGAACTACAAGCCTCACAAGGAACAGTTGGTTTCACATCCAGACAACCCCTTGTTCAAAAAGCCGGCTATCCACATCACGGTTATCCATCCCCTGTTCAACCCACCTATTCAACTGTGGGTAAAAGTGAACAATCCACATTTCAAAGAGATCATGCCATGACCCTAGCGTCATACGCTCATTCCGCTATTCATAATCCAGCTACAGGACATAGACCGGACAGTCAGCAATTTATTCCTAAAAACTATGAAAACTCTAGTGCTCGCTATTTGGGACATAATCAAACACACGAATCAGTTCATGCCACTGGACATTTAATGGCTCAACCTGAAACAGTCAAAGTATCATCTAGTCAACGTGAACATTCGATACACTCCAAGGAATATCACCATAATATACGTTCGACACAACCACCTACATCATCTGCTCAAACACAAATGCATCTTTATCATCACGGAGAAGTTAGTGCACAGAAAGCTGCGTCATTCGCACATGGATATTTACCAACAGCAGACAGGCGAACAGATACTCGTGCTGGACATCGCGTCTCTATGGACTCTCACCGTATGTCTAGTGAACCCCATCGTGTTGTAAGTGAACCCCATCGTGCTCTTAACGATCCTCACCGTATTGGTACTGAACCTCATCGTGTTATTAGTGAATCCCATCGAGTTGTAAATGAACCCCACCGTACTGTAAGTGAATTACATCGGGCAGTTGGCGAATCACATATGAGACATCCACAAAGTATACGAGGATTAGTTGAAGCCAAGGCTCACCAACAACCGATTAAGCATTCAATACATCACAATATCGCCCCTTCCAGTAATCATAAAGAGCATAATAATGCAACCTTCTCCCAAAGACCAGGCAATCACGGACATTCAAACCCCAATTACTCTTCACAGATTCATGCCCAAAGAATTACCTCTGGAGCCAGGGCCATTGTTGCTGAAACTCCTTCAGGGCAAGGCTCAATTCAAACGGGTGTGCCACTTGACCTCTCGCGAGTTTCCGAAAAATCCCAACCTGTAAGTGAAAAAAGTGACCGGGAGGCAGATTCACCCCTTGATTTATCAATTAAAACGAGGAAGAGGTGTGCGGATACCACAATTGCTCAGCATAGTAATGAGGGACATGAACCTGGTTATAAAAGACCACGACTTGAAACTCCACAACTCTCCGTAAATCATGTGAATCAGCACTACAGAAACCATTTACAAGAATCTATGGAAGCTACTGGTAAAATGGGACTTGCACAATCACTGTATCAAAATCATTCCCCATCTCTGCAACAACAGCAGCACCATCAGCATCCACAACAACACAGCCATCATCAGCATCAACAACAACAACACCTCCAACAACAGGTCAATAAACACCAATCTCCACGTTCACACTTTAAAAATTTGGATGTATTGAAATCAGAACACACTGCAGCAACATTGGCGCCTCAGGTATCTAATATACCATCCACAAAAGTTGCAACAGCTGCCGAGCAAAATGCCGCCCATCGCCATCTTCAGAAAACTCACGGGACGCATTTTCCGCCACCAAATGTGAAGTCAGTCCGAGACACTAAAGTGGATTTATCACCGTATCCTTATAGTGTATATCCTGCAAGTAATCAGGCATCGGTAGTCAGGTGCAGTCCTGATAGTACGATAGGACAGAATCATATAAATTCTAAACATGCACCACAGCATATGTACAGACGTAGTGTAGACAGCTCAAATATAAATCTGAAACACGAACATGTAAAACAAACAAATGTAAGTAAACCTAATTCTCCCAGAGGACATGTGCATTCTATAGAAAAACAAATACCAAGTGCTCAAATCCAAAATAATGCGAAACCTTCCCCTGTAGTGAACGATTCCAAGCATGGGATTAAATCAGCTCAACCGAGAAGTCAGCCCCCGGCACAACAATCTCCCGGTCAGCATAATATTTCTCAACAGTGGCAGGATTACTCAAAAGCGCAATCAGGGAATGCTGACGTTCGTACCAGCCCTGCACAAGTCAAGTCCGAACCTCACATGCAGCTATTTCCCAGCTATAACAAACAATCTTTGACGGGACCTTTGCCACCTACTTTAGTCCCAACAGAAACAAAAAGCAGGTCTGCTTCTCAAACTCCGGCTATTTACAAAACACATGTAAAACCGCCAGAACTTATGGGTATGCCGAAGAGTGAAAATGAGAAATCCATTAGCACAATTCAGCCTATAATTAAACTGGAGGATAATCAAGCCAAAGTTGGCCAAACCCAACCAGAAACCCCACCAAGTGAAAATGTTACTAAATCCACAGAATCAACAAATGATTCGTCGACATGTGATAATTATATGGAACCATTATCTATTGCCATTCCTTCTACTAAAAACAATAATACAGATACGAAGTCCCAGAAAATAATTACCCCTAAGATAGAGCCCAAACCAATGCCCTCAACAACCCCTGCGCCGCCTATAATCCTCTCTAGAAAACAGATGATCATGAACGCCGTGATCAAGGATGAAAACTTGAAGAAGTACGCAACAAATATAGCCACACACACGTCCAGAAAACCTCGCCACGGTAGTGAATTCAAGACACCAGGGGGTTCACCAGCTAGTCCACCATCTCCAAAGATGCCTATTCTTAGTCCACAGCAAAAGACTCTCCCGTCTGTTTCCCCGCTTCACAATGACCCTCCTACACTAGATCTTCCCGATTACCCATCAAAGCAAAAACTTAAAGGACGAATTCCACATTCAATTCCAAAACGAGCGCTAGAGAAAGGCAAAATTAATTCGACAAAGACTCCACAACCACCGCAAGTTGAGATTACTAAAGCATCTACTGACGTAAACAAGGATCAACTCGGAACAACATATGCTCGACCCGAAGCGATTCGTCGGAATTCCTTACCCGAAAAAACATGGATGTACCAGAAAAATATCCCTGTTGCCAATGTTGCTCCTTTCGTGCATTCTGAAAATAAACAGGAACCTAACCTACAGACAGACGCGGTTCGTACCAGTCAACCGGTAACAGGAAATCTTGACCAAACTGTAAAGTCGGAGGATGTCACCACAGACGATATTGAACGTAAACCGGATGTCATTACCGATATCAGTAGAGAAACGTCTAAAATTAAACCCAAAACAAGCAAAACTAAAAAGCAAACGAGACAAAGTGATAAAGTACATGTAGTATCAAAAGATAAGCTTAAAAGGGTACAAAAACAGCAAAGTTCGACGGACACTAAAATCAACCACACTTCTCCTGAGAAAAAAGTACAACGAAGTGTAGATGTGCACATCCGTTTTTCTAAACTCCCCTCCAAAGCGAGAAAACGTGCGCGTGATGGTAAACGAGTAAGAAAAATAGATCATGTTACGGGGGAGAAGAACTCGGAAGAGAAGAGCTCGGAGGAGAAAGTGATTCATGAATCTGATATAAAAGAGGGGGAGATCTTGGACAAAGATGATGAAGCTAAAACGAGTTCACCTGGTAACCTTATGTCCGATCCTGCATTACTGGATAGGGAAGAACGGGCTCTTAGGGTAAGTTATCTTGTATTCTGTTCATTAAATTAGTATGGTCATTGGGTTTTTACAGATAATATAGCTATCAACCCTTGATGTTGTGGCGATTTTATTCTGGTCATATCCTTTTGGACACACCCATAAGAACTTAAGAGTTACTAGTGGTTTTTAGGCTGCCACATGTTAATATCAATAGTACTAAATGATTCGTTAAATATATATAAGTAAAATCCATATTACTCTCTGGAGGCTGTTGATAGAATTTTGTGCTAGTATTCAAAGCTGATCCTAATCAACGATGCTGTCAGTCGAACCGTGGCTTGTTATCGCTCTTGAAATGAATAGGAAGTATGTACATGCGACCTTTATACACTTTCCATTACTTTCTGTCACTATTTTATGACTTCTTCACATTTACAGAGGGCAATTGATCAGTTTACAAAGATGGAGAATGGAAGCAAGTATCAACATAGCCAAGGCAGACACAGACGAATGTCTAATACAAATAAACGAGTAAGATGCGGTTTCATTATCAAACTAGACAAAATGACATTAAAGGGATACTCCCAGGTCGGTGGTGGTAACGGCATTCAACATAATCAGAACATAACTCATTAAAATAGCATACTCCAGACTGTCCTGAGATATTTCTTTTGATTCGCCTAAGCAAATTGAACTCCGTTACTATTGGCACCATTTATAAATCTGTCAGAAAGATGCCTGTTCAATTCTAAAACTGTACGGGAGAAAATCTGTGCAATAACTACGGGTTAATCATTGTTTCTTCTCATGAAGTAAATGATTCTATTGTAAATTGAGCTCTGCACCCTTGAAAGAAAAATCGATTATATTTGAATACTGTCCTAATGCGGACATAAAAGTGCTAATGTTGAAATTTATCCATCTGGCAAATTAAATAACGTCAGATTTAATGAAATCGAAGCTCAGATTTTCTACCCAGTTGAAGGAGGTCACTTTAATTCCTCTTTTTTATTACTAAATAAAATAATATTATTTTGGGGGGAGTATCCCTTTAAGTACAAAAACCAGTAAACATGTTTGTTGGTTGGCTTTAACCTATATTTCACCGATATATTTTACGTTATGAGAGAATTGTTTTTTTGGAAGAATACACAAGTTCTAGACAAATTGGCTCAATCTGCTTTTGATAATGGAAGAAAACATTTTTAGGAAAAAATCGACTTGCTTTACGAGCAGATGTTGCTCTTAATTAAACTGACAGATACATGCAAAGATTTATCGATGTGCATTTCATCATTTGACACCCCAAAGCTCTCTTTCGTGTGATAGTAATTGGAATCTATAGAAATGTTTGTGTGGCATGTTCAATTTATTATTTGTATTTTTACTTTTTGTTATTTTAAAGGCACAAGAGTTAAAGCGGAAAGCCATCGGCAGGAATAAAGTTCAGGGTAATTATTTGTTATTTATTCAGAATTCCGAACGAGTCCAGATTTACAGACATTTGTCCAAACATAGATGAGACGTCTGGTATTTTCATCGGGAGAAGCCTGTATAAATTGCGCGTTTTTTCCATGTAGCTATATAATTTACTGTACACCATATGGAGCAAGATGAGCTTATATAATCTCTGATCGTCATTTGTGGGATGCTTAAAATAAATATCAATCCAAACATGGTTCAATTCCGTTCAGAAATGATTGACCTCAAATGTATCAACATTCGGGCAATTCAGCATCCACTGCGGGCAATATAAACGGGAAATGGTAAAAATAAGCCACCAGTAGTATTCACGATTATATTTGTGATAATTAAATGTTAAGTAATCAGTCTGAGTATATTTTAGCTTGGATTAAACCCCGAAAAATCGAATATTATATTATAAGGTCGGTCATTGAATCAAGTGGCGTGGTTTCGAACATGTTCGCCTGCCCATAGAATTAGCGAATTATAGAAATAAAGTTGTACCCTATGTCAGTCACGAAATGGCCTAGTTTGTGTCGAGTAAAGGTTCTCTTATATAATTTTATAGGTTTCTTTGAGTAAAGGTAAAATTGACCTAAAAATATGTTTGTAATCCGCCCAGCTGATAAAGTACGATGACCCATGTTAATCGATTCAGTATCATACGATAACATAAAAAATGTCAACAGGCGGTCATTGACATACACATATGTATATATTTGTAACTTTGTATAATCACACATATGTTTGTATAATATTTAAGCGTGATCCTTCCCAAAAGCCGATAGGACTTTGACCTGACGTACACGGATTCTCCCACGCGGTTTGTAGTTGGTATCTTTGGTATCAACGCAAATTCGGTTACTAAAATAAATTGGCGATTCCAGTAATCACAAGGTAAAACACAAGTCTGCAACCCAAAACACCATCATTAAGCGTTTTTCCAAAGCCTTGGGATACTTTGATACTTTGACCTAGTGCTATAGTAAACGACCCCCCTCCCCGCCTCCCCTAGATTTTAATTGCCTAATAAAATAAATACTACCCCAGAACTCATCATACCCCACTTGACCTGGAGAACTTGACGTGGCACTGGATTTAACAGACAAATCGGTGCGGATACCATTAGTAAATAAACACAACCCCACAATTCAATAGATCCCCGCGCCCCATTACCTTTATAAAATGGACATAAATTTACAAAAAGCACAGGGAGACTTTGAAATGGCCTTCACGGGATTGCCAACGCTGCATGAATATGGTATCTTTATTTAGTACTGAATGCAGCCACAAAAATCAAAATCAACGCACACAAAATGGAAATCAATTTGGAATTTATTTGCGAAAGACTAATGGGTAATAAAAGTGTTGGCGTGTAACGCAATAATGGTTAAATGATTATTGACGTTACACCATCACGTATATTTTCATAATACTTGATACGTGGACTAACGTGGTAAATCATCTTGTTAAAACAATATTTTATTACGTGGTAATTGATCTAAATCGAATTTAATTCCAAGTATACCCTAGTGCAGGAATAAGAATACACATTGTTCTGTTCTCATATGTCTTACCTATCGATAAACAAGCTTTTTTTGAAAATGACCTCATATTTGGCATTGCGTAATATTTAGTTTCGTAAAGCTTAATATTATCTAGGTATTAATAGAATTATGTTATATGATTTACATTTTAATAATTATAAATATGTTAACATTTATAAAACCAAAATAAACTTTAAACGTAAACATTTGATGTGGCTCTGCCTGCGCTTTGGTAGGTTCGACCTAGGGTGGTTAAAAAATATCGATTTGACGTGATATGACTACATTTACATCGGGCATGTTCAAATAATATCGTATACAAAGCCATTGCCGAGATATACACGTTTCAACATTAATTTACGAATTTAACATATGTTTTTGTTGTTTCCAAGCATTTTAATGAATGGCAGATGGTTGCTTGCATTTCAATAATAATGTACGGTTATTTTCCATATGATATTATTCATAATTAGTTTTATTTTCTTGGTGAAGATGATTCTGCCTCTTTAACTAAGTACACGGTGAAGATTATTTTTCTTATCTTTATTAAGAGTATGAGTATTTCTGTGGCATATATTTAAAATGTAAACATTGTCTGGGGCTACTTAGAATTGATGGCATAAATTTCGAGGTGTACATAATCAATAAAACTGTATCTCAAAACACAATTACATATATTGATTTGAACTTACTTTTAACATTTATTAGAATGTTTCTAATCCAATTTTGTGATCGATAATAGAAAAATCCTTCACACCATGTTTCATTACTTATATAAAGCGATTTTGCAGTATGCCAGGAACAGCAAATTAACTGTGACATATTTGTGTTACAAAATATCAAACAATATTGTGATAGTTAAAAGTGCTTTCAAATGTCATAAACTAAATCGTATTGTTTTATCTATCATGTACGCATTTACATTTAGTCTTGTAACAAAACTCGTGCGTTTGTCTACATGAGATAAACCCTTTCATGTCGGAATGTAAATCATGGATTTTGTTTATCAACCAAACACTGATTATCGAAAAATGTTTATTTTTATTGGCATTCACACATACAACGTTTTATAATTGATTATCAAGTTGTCAGAAGCTAAACAATAGAATATATTTTTGGACCAGGAACTTGGTGTTCTTCTCGGGGAGGCGCTCGTTGAAAAAAACAAAACATAAGGCTTGTTCCTTAGGTTGTTTAATAGGACGTCACAATTTCAAAATGGCGACGTTGACGTCATGATCGCTTCCTGATTCAATCATAATAATATACTATCGTACGTGTTCTGTACAGTCGTAGGGATATCATCGCTTCATTAATGTCTACTATAAATCATCTTAAGCATTGTTCTTTCTTTAGGTCGCAGTTGCAAGAATACATTCAGGGGACGTCCAGGTCTAAGGCCACGTGGTTTTATTGATTTTAAACCGGAAGTATTGAATTCACGAACGAGGCGTTCAGGTACGTTAATGGCCAACGAACCCACATCACGCTATGGTTACTCAGCCAGGCAAAAATGACGCAAGTGACAGTGTTGATTTTTGTTTGTCATGCTTATATATTTCAAATGTAGATATCTTTGACAGCTTGACTGGGAGTCATTTGGTGCATGACTGGGAGTCATTTGGTGCATGACTGTAATTTTTATTTTGTAGACAAAACTATGTTGAAATGAAAATATCAGTATGTGAACAGAAATAAACAATATTTACGTCTCTGTATTCTACTATCCTGTACCGGATGAGTAGTGTTATCCACGGCCTTTAGGCCTTTTGTCCTTGACGGTACCGGTGCCATTTGTATGATCAATGCACTCTTGATTTAAATATTTGCTATTATACATTGTTATTGCAGGCAGAAGGCGTATTCCGCGCTTTAACCGTAACGCCGCGTTCGAAAACCAGTTACAACGCCACCATTCTCGTAAGCTTTCCAGGCGACTTCGACAAGCTAATAGACGTCAAAGAATCGAATCAGACACAGAATTTGAGAATGATGACGAGGATGACGAAGAAGCTGATGAGGACGACGATGCCACCGAATATGAATTTGATACTGATGACTTTAATCAAGATCGTGTGCTACGGAAACGAGTGTCTTTACGTACCCGCAAACGCCCTACAAGACGCCAAATCATAGATGATTCAGATAGTGACCAAGAGAATGGTACACCAAGCGACGACTTTTCTACGGATCACAGTTTCTTGAGTAGCACCAGAAGGTGTAAACCAAGTCGTGCATCTCGAAACAGAAAGAAAACTCGTTCTACAGTCAATAAAGATGTCGACACGCCGGTCTTACAATCAGAGGTAGGCGTCAGCAGATATGCACTTAGAGGTTTTTGCTGCAGATTTATTGGGTACACTGCGTTCGTCTATTATCTTGTGGAATCATGTGCGAAAATTCTCTCCAGGTCTTGTGCATCTAAGCACAATAATAGTATAAAGCACCACTTAAACCTATAGGCATGGCGCAAAGTAGAGTATTAATGCAAATTCTTGTCGTCTGTGTACTATAACTTACGTTATTAAAAACTACTTATTCGAATTTTGATCGCTTATTAGTGTTTCCGTGTATATAAAATTAATCAAATCCCCACGGTATTAAAACGAAATGAGTACTTAGTTTTATATAAACCGGCATAAACATTCTGTAATGATTTCAGGAATCCACCGATGAGGAATTCGATGCGGCGTTCTGTTATCTTGGGGAAGACGTTCCACAGCACGTTCCAGCGGAGGTGAAGAAGATAACGATTAATAAAACAACTGGAGAAACGGGGCTACACAGAGCCGTTCGTCTCAGTTATCAGGTAATCTTTTTCATAACCACTCTCAATTACTTCCTTAGAAAATCCATTCACATTAACGCTGTGTCAGTGTAACCCATCTGGACTATAAATCTTTTTAACATGACAAATACTTGGTGGGGGATCGATAGATGGAACTCGACTGTTAAAAGGAACTAGATATTATTACTACTAATGTTACTAAAAGCCCAGGCATTTTTTTTAGAAAATATTGATCTTATTAATATCGTCTAAAGTAAAGAGATTCTAAGATATAACTGGTGGAATTAATTTTTTAAAATCAACGATTGCTAGTGTGTCATCCGCGATTTACCTTTTCAGATTAATGGTAAACAATCCGTAAATAATGTAGGAAAATTCCCCAAAACGAAAGTAGATATTAAATCTAAATTTCAGATTGAAGCCCAAAACGTTATCTACGGGAACTGAAAAACACGATTTTTAGTACATTTTAATCGATGCAATACATTGTGTAATCTTTTCCAGCGTGATCAAAATTGATCTGTTCCTCTCGGGGCAGCAGATGTAAATTAGGCATTGATTTGATCATAGAGAAATTAATGTATTTTTATACGCCTGAAATAAAAATGTGGTCTATATTGCCACCGTCCCCGTCCGTCCGTCCGGCGCCCACAATTGCTTGTGGACGCTCTAGAGGCTAAAGTTAATATCCTATTGACTTTGAATTTATATACAGTGTGTAAGGTCATCAGACGAAGAAGTCTATTGATTTTCAAGTATTTCCGATAATTACTGCCAGAGTTATGGCCCTTGACCTCTTTGAAAAATCGTGTAGAAGCTCTAAGAGTCTAAAGTTAATAACTGATTGACTTTAAATTTATACACAATGTTTAAGGTCATGAGATGAAGAAGCCTATTGATTTTCAGCGATTTCCAATGATTATGGAAATTAGTATTAAATGCTTTGTATGCTAAATGTTAGAATAGGCCAGAACTAAAAGCCAAATAGGTTGTTACTTGTTCACAACTGTAAATTACAAACAAAACCAATAACCTATTCTGCGTTGCGAGAATGAATCATCTATAGCTAGTGTGAATAGTGTATGATATCATTATTTACAGCACGAAAGTTTATGACTATTAATATCCTGTACTAATTAAACGCAAAATGCTTATATTATATACATTATGGGAAATTAGATAAGGAGCTGGTAGTTCTCACTCTAATTGTTAAAAACTAGATGATGTAAAGGGAATATGCTGATAATTTCAGTCAAATTGCTTCCCTGTAAGCCGACAAAACCTTATTTTAAAATCTTTGTAGCCTCGATTATCATTGTTAGCGCTGTCACGAATGCAAATTTTTGAAACACAAATACATGTACGGGAATACTCGACCTTTAGATAATGATGAAAGGAAATGAATTTTGCGATATAATTATAAATCCATTATTTATATAGCGTGTATATAACGACTATAAGATGACAAGAGCCTGCGTTATAATGAATTCTATAATTGAATATCTATATTAAGAACATTAAATGACTTCCTGGTTATAATGATAGTCCAAATGATGTTTATCGTAATTCAATATTCCCACCAATAATAACGAAGCTTCACGAGCAGTGTAATTAATGTTTACGAATACTTACATCCTCTGACATATAAACTAATTAAAGGTAAACTCAGTCATTTTATAAGACCATATTGAAGTCGCCACGATGCGTTCTCCCAACGTCCTGGATTCCTTGTGAACACCCTAGAGATTACATTTGTTATCGAGTCATTTATATATTAATATATCGATATATAAAAGTGGCCAGAGAGAGAACGGGGGTTTAACGCTTGCGTGTAGGGGTCTTTAGCTGTGGGAGGAAACCGGAGAAAACTCACGAGGTAGGACAGGCGATCCCACTCTTTGTCACGTACAAGCTTGGAATAGAATGACTCATTGACAGATCTTATGATCTGATGCTCACGATCCTTAATCCCGCCCATCTTCCACTATTGCCTATGGACACTATTCAGGCTACCTACCGTTATGATCCGATTGTTTTGAAATTCATGCGACCAAGACATCTATGGATTTCCAATTACATACAACTGAATAAATATGCAAAAACCTTTGTTGACTATTCGGACGACTTAGCTGCTAAAGGGCTTGTGTTTCGTAGTCTAGCAAATTAACTTTATTTATTTGCAATCTTAATAGGTTTATCGACGGCCCGGTGACGCATCTGTAGTGTACGTGTGTTTCCTACCCTGGCAACCTTTTTTTAGAAATAGTTTTGTATATGTTTGGTAGACTTGTTCCCAATCTATTTATATTTGTCGTTATTAAAATTGGTATTGTTAACCATTCTTCCGGCTTGTGATTCAACATACTGTGAATTTGCAAATACGTAGCAGATGGGAATGCTATATTTACATATATGTACGTGTGTTAAATTTTTCGTAAATAAAACAAATATTTACTGCTCGTATGAAACACTGGTAAGGTCTTCCTCGTGAACGTAATATACGTAAATAAGAAAACTCGTTCTAGCGTATGATACATTTGACCTATTTACTATGTAGATAATATATATTATTGAAGCTGTACTAACAATACGCTGTAATACTAGTCGATATTATAACCTTTAACCTAAATCAGTGAAGGGAACAAAAATGTTTAAAGCGACCGCATAAAACCGGTTAACAATAAACGATTGTTTAAAGTGGCAGTATAAAACCAGTTAGCGAAACAAGATTATTTAAAGTGGCAGTATAATGATTGTAAGCAAAATAAGTATGTTTATTTAAAGTGACAGTATAATGTCTGTCGACAAAACATGATTGTTTAAAGTGGAACTAAAAGTAGAATAAGCCAGCAAAATCAGAATGCTTAAAAAGGAACCAATAATACCAGCCAAGAACACAAGGTGGTTAAAGGGACACTATAAAATCAGTTAAAAAGAATAAGAATTTTAAAGTGGAACAAAATATTTCAAAAAAACAATATTTAAAGTTTTAACAATAAATAAGCCAACAAAATTAGAATAAACCAGGATGTTTAAAGCTGCATGATAAGAATATTAAAACCGACAGTATTAAAATCAAAATGTTTAAAGTGACACGGGCCTCGTGTACCATAGTAAGAACATGACGTATGATAGCTAGTCTTGAAGACAAGGTTGAACACTGATTATTTTTGACTCGTATATAAAAATAATTACCCTTCTTTTAATACATGGTATTTGTTCACGCGAGAAACGCCCACGTGTCTAGACCTCATCATTTACAATTTGATCAGATTTGCGGTTCTATACACAAACCTAATGGCACATACATTTAATTGTTAGTACAATATTCCGCCCAGAGACTTAACTTAATTACTGTGGTTAAAAAACATCGACGATCATTTAACCAGCCTAACTTTGTCGTCTGAACCCAAGCATGGGGCAAATAAACCAGTTTAAAACCACGGCTCACTGCTTGTTTTTGAGAAAGTTTTTCTTAAGCCCACATAGAAATTCAAGTCCTATCTTGCCGTCGGTCCGCCCATCGTCCACTATTTATCGCGATCACTGTACAGAATTATCTGATTTTTGTTTTAAAAAAATGTAAGTACTTTGGACATTTCTAAAATACATCGCTACCTTTTTTTTTCTTCTTAAGATCTCCACTTTAAGCTTCAATCTTCTAACATCATATTATTGGCAGTGGAGTTAATCAAGTGTAATAATTCGCCGACAAAGAAATAACACGACGTCTGTGATCAATTTACCTAGCTTAAAGGTTAAAGGTACGCCTGTAAGATACAAGTTGTTTATGGCCGTAAACCAACAACACGGGCGGTATTCAAATATCGGTTATAGTTATAATGCTTAGTTCACCATTGCTAGAATTCTTATAGTGGATGGTGACATGGATGATCCACCATACCAAGGTTACCATTTAGAGTATGTCTCTTACGGCCAGAGATAGGGTAAAAACTGGTTGGTCGGGATCGTAACGGCGCTCATATGTCACCAACGTCTGTCCAAGTTACTTCAGTCATAGTTGAAAGAAAGAATACTCTTCGAAACGTCGCCCAAATATATTAGCAGCTGTTTTCTAGTATAGTTTATTTTAGCCATATAAGTCTTCCGATGTGCTTTAGTATCACGCGACTTGTCAGATCAGTTCCCATTGGCTTGTGCGACTCTTTAAAAACTGTCTTAGACTAGTTGCCGTCAGTCAAAATCCGGTTTTAAATGCAGCCCTGTCGGCCGTCTTGTTGTAACCGATCAATTTTCGTGGTTCTGAGAAACTGACATTGTCGTGTCAAAATTAATACTTGATTTATTGAACAAACGATGTTCATACGATGGAATAAGGTGACTTTCATATACCCCAAACAAAATATATTATTGCCTTTAAAGTTAATGATATTTCTGTAACTGGATATAAATGTAATCTATATTTTTCTGAAGCTTTCATATAAAGGTGATATTTTTTACGCAGCTGTTAGCGTTACTGTAATGCTTATCACGAGTTTATATTAGTCTGTTTTTTTTTTTTTACGAATTTATTTTCTACTCGTGTTCTGGTGTAAACCGAGAGCTGAATGATAATGCGCTATCTCCAGCTTAAAGAGACGGTCGACAGACATATTATTGCATTTGGTTGATAAATAAATATATATAATGAAATTAGGAAAATGGTTGTATATCAAACGTAAAACCTATGAGATGCCCTAAAAATAGCCGCCGACACAGTCCAGGAAAAACCACCGACAACGTTTTTTGGCTTAGTGCAATGCACCCCCCCCCCCCCCGCGCCCAAACCCGAATATTTTCCCACTGGAAGCGATTTTCCGACGATTTGTCTTGAAAATGTATATTTTACATGTGTGCCTGCGTGATCTATTGCCTCTTTTGTGAGCGTAATTCTTTGGAAATGAGCGTAAAATGTACCGTGAACATTCAATTATTCCGATTCGTTTGTACGCAAATCAGCTGAACATTAAACAAAGCCCAACGCATTCCCTTTAAAGCCCGACACCGCACCTTCACAGCCCGACGTCGTCCCTTTAAAACCCGACATCGTCGCTTTAAAACGTCAGATAGCTAGGTAAACCAGCACGCCGTGTAATGTTTACACTACGTGCTCGTTTACACATTGTCAATGTCGGTAAGGTCAATGTCGCCAAAATTATTTACTTTAGTTGCCGCGCCTAGCTAATACTGTTTTAGCCCACTGGTGAGCTCACAGATATGTGCGAATAATATACGTAGGTGTCTTGACCCCGAAACCACCCGCCATTCGCTGATTAGCTCCAACTTACGCTCTCGTTAAGCTGCCACACCACGCGATATTTTTTTATTTTAGTTTGAAACGCCTGCGTAAGCAATTTGATATTAATAGCTAAACAATATCGGCTTTTAAAAAATGAGCTATGATGAAGAATTCAATTGAAAATGTCATTTATATGTACGACTCTTTTGTAATGGCTGAATGGCTGATCGAAGTGATAATAAAGCGTTTAATAAAACGAATAAAATGTACGTCATGGACTTTTATAAAAAAAAACACCATTGTGTTGTACACATGTTTAAAATTTTAAAGGTGAAGAAACCAAAGGTATTCGCAGTGGAAATAAAATGAACGCCTCTCGTCAACAAGGTCGATTAGTTATAGTTTAGATCGAGAATACGCCTATGAAACTATCAAGACTGGATACACGATAATGATGACCCTAATGAAAATCCAGTTTTTGATTATAATGATCCTAATGAGAATCCAATTTTGGACCGCTAACAACCTTATGCGATGTTTTGATGAGAAATAAAATAGGGTTTAACGTCCTACTGTTCTGCACCGACTGGGCTAATGAAGACGGACATACGTCATACAGGGACACGTCTCGAATCCCAAATGTAAAGGGTTCTTTTACGTGCACATCTATGTGTACACGGGACCTCGGTTTATCGTCCATTCCGAAAATCTATACGTTGTCCGTTGCCAGGCCACCGGCCTACACCGGGCTCGAACATGGTTTCACTGATTCTTTTACTTGCACATCTATGTGTACACGGCACCTCGGTTTTTCGTACTTTCCCAAAAACTATACGTTGTCCGTTGCCAGGCCCCCACCTACACCGGGATCGAACACGGTATTCGCTAATTGTTAAAACATATTGGATTGACTAAACAGCATAGTGGGGAGGGGGCATGTGAAACCAATGACCTCTTTTATACATTGGCATAAATCAATAGAGGTCCACAAATAACCGAAATTCGGCGAAAATTCAACGAATACTGCCATCCGGCGTGGTACACATAATTTGAAACGACCGCATATTTGTTTATTGTTTGCAATGTCTGTACAGTTTGTGTCCTGTCTTCGGGTTTGTCTTTTTGGTTTTGTTTGCGTGTAGTGCGGTCCTCCTGCACTTACTGCAAGATTGTCAAAATGAATTATTTAAGATGTACCGTTTGAGCACAGTGTATACATGTATATATATCCACTTTAACGTTCACTTAATCATAATCAAAGAAAGAGGAAACATAGGCTGTATGTTAATTAGAAAAAGAATAGTGTATATGCACTGAAAAATCTCTTTAAAAAACGAAAATACCACAGCGTGAAGAATGACGTATTCGGACCCCACCCTATGGGAATATTATGTAACCCGAATTATCAAGTTTTTGTCTTGTCTAATGTGATAGATTAGTTTACATTGATAAGATATATCAATACTATATTTCATCTCATGATATATCTAACAGAATGGTCTCTTAGGACATCTGAACTCGTACGTTTAATGGGAGCATCGAGTAAGACGTCGGTGCCTGCATTGGCCTAGAAAGTTCATCTGGAATTTCCGGTGTGGTCCCCCCTTGTCAGTAGTGTAGGACGGAGGGTCGGGGGAGAAACAACGACTGTTTTCATTAGCCCAATCGGAGCAGAACAGTAGAACGTTAAACAGCATTTCATTTCATTTCATACATTTAATGCAGTGTACTGGTATCCTGAAAACATAATGGTAGATTTTTTCCTTTCTAGGTTATCGATTAATAGCGACTCCCGATAACTAACCTGAAAACAAATACAACCGGTTAAAATATCAGCTCTAAAAGTCAATTAGCCTAGCATTGAAATAAAACCTATAGAGGTTTTGTCTTTACTAAGTAATAGATTTGCACCGATTGTTTCCTTCAGTGCGGCTCATTATGAAGAATCGTCATAGAAAAACTTAATCACTGCCAAGACTTAATCACTGGGGAATTTGTAGCTTCGTTAAATTTTATTGATAATCGTTACAGTACAAAATACGTTATTTATTAATGTACAGGTACATGTATATAATCAGCGTGCTGAAACGTGAAACAAAAGGGACCGCGGTAATCGAGCGGTAAGGGCGCTGATGTCTCGTCAAAAATATCTCGGATTCTAGTCCCGACGTTTTCCAAATAGAATTCGAGGTAAAGGATGTGGTGCTGACAAGTGTTGCCAAGGGAACGAAAATCCTAGGTCCGCCACAGTAAACGTTGGCGTGCAAGCAAAATAATTCCTGTAAGAAGAGTAGGCGGAAACGCCACTGCCTGGACAAAATTAGACTCCAATCCCTTTCCTTTCTTTGAAAATATAACAAGGTAGAGACAAGTTTTTAGACTATTTTGTTATACAATACATATTATCAATAGGGCCTACATTTATATTCATCGCATAAGAAAAGTAAAGACACAATGGGAGAAGTGTGTTTTTGTTTCTTGCTAGCTGACTTTAATAACAGTGTCTCGAGGGTAATCAATTATAGTCATGTTTACTGTCTTCAGATAAAACATAACATTGACCATTCTACCTTAAAATAGACACAAATAGTCTAAATAGGCTTCCATGGATCTACTACCAGTTAATTTTATTTACCAGCGATGTTTTGTAATGTTATTTATAGCCCCAGGTTTGATTTATTATTAAGATAAATAGCTTCCTCGTATCTCCTTGAAACTGTTTTTAAAGCAGGACTTTAATGACATGTACTTAATGGAGTACTACTTTTCTAAATTCAGACATTCGGAGTAGTGTAGTTGATATTATATTATTCCCAATCTAATTAAAACACAGATCCTATTTCGTTTCGTTTCGTTTTTTTATAGTTCAAAATTTCGTTTTATTTGTCATGTAGTGTAGGCCATCGAAAGTATAAAAAACGAAACGAAATATAGATCTGTATTTTAATCAGATTGCATTATTTCGGACTTCCAAAAGTTATTGTTAATACAGAAAGTTAGTTTTCTGGTGCAATTTGAATTAGGCAGTTGTCATTTTGCGACTAACCCAGCGCACAACCTAAACCCGTAGCTGCCGTCCGGAGCAGCAATATTATACCGTAATTGGATATTGAGCAGATACCACTTTCTTATTAATCCAGTGACATTATACCGTGACAATTCATTGTTTTGCTATTAATGGTATCCTGTTTTCTTGGAATAATTTCCCTTTAAATCATTAATCACCTCAGCTGGCTTGTTAAAGGGACACGTAATGTTTACAATGACTGTTGTTTGTTTTAACTATTTAGTAACAAGGGGTCTGTTTCACGAAATTTTAACTAAGATACCTTTTAACTAAGGTATTAGTATTAAAGGAGCTAAATCGCTAACATTTGGGACCTAGAAATTGACAAAAGTGGGTCGCAACGCATATAATACTGTAATATGAATGTATATAAACTGATTTACATTCAATGGTTTCCGTTTTTACTCCAATTTGAAATCAGTTTTGTTCGGCGAAATAAGCCAGCAGTCTCAAGCGAGGGCAAATTTCTAGCGTCTGGTTATTCCAGTCTACATACGCCGTTTGATTTGGTGCAATGTGTCTAGCCTCGTCCCTCGAGTCTCTTGATACAACTGGGGCTGAAGCGCATTATGGTACACGATTCGTGTACCAATGGTAAAATGTTTATTTTGTCTTAAATATTGGATATCAAAAGCCCATCTTTTTCCGGTAAGATCACAACATCAATGTTGATTTAATTTGACAAATAAATCGTGTTTTCAATGTTGAAGATTTTGGATGATATTGAGTTAGAGACTTAGCTACTTTAATCTATTATTGTTTCGTTATCTCATAGACCTTACTGTTTATAGCCATGGGATAAAGTGGCGGCACTACAGACTTTGAAGTTGTAAATTCTGTTTCAACAGTAGATCGCAGCCCGGTTATGCATTCATATCACTTGAAAGTGAAAATGGCCCTTTAAAAGAAGTCCTATAATACTATATAGACCGGGTCCCGATCCGCGAGTTCACAAAGCATTTTCAGACTTTAGTTTTGTGTTTCTGGATCAAAGATATTTCTCATAGAAGAGTGATTGAAAATTGAGTAAATTCTTAAGTCTGAGAATGCTTTGTGAACTCGGGGCAAGGAACAGAACGTGCCCGCAATCTCGGAATTGTGACGTCATATAAAAAATCGAAGTCCGTCAACGGATGCGACATTGTCACAGGAACAGTCGTGCGAAGTGACATGTTTGTGGTAATTTAATTTGCTGAGCTTAATTTTTTTGCGAAGAAAGTCGTCTGGAAGAAGAACAAAAAGACGGATTGCGCTTTGTGAGCAAATATTCACTGCTGTAACAAACCGCACTCAAGAATTGATTAGGATATTTAATTATTTGGACAACCCTCTGTGCCCACTGGATAAACCTTTATCCTTCATGATTCTGGTGTGTATACGATATTGTTTATAGACTTACCAATTCTTATTTACTGTTTTTGCAGGAGGCAATCTTATATTATTTAAAAAGTGGAACAGTTGATGTGAATGCTCGAGATAATGCTGGATATTCTGCTTTACACGAGGCATGTGTAGTAGGAAAATTGAACGTGGTACGAAGTCTTCTGGAGCATGGTGCAGACGTCAATGCGTCATCACATGATGACATTAGGTTAGTTAAAATTGTATATATAATATTAACTCCACATAATGCATTCTGTTTTATCGACTTCGTTGATATTCTTCATCGAAGTTGAAGAGTAATAGTAACCAATAAAGCAGATGTATGTCTTTTGTAGGCATTACATATCGGCTATAGATACCAAAATGTCTCCATTACTTATAATACATATCAAGGGGTGGGAGTAACGTAATATGGCAGGGAAACAATGGTGGCCAGATACTGAATTCGGTCCAAAACTGCACCCAGTTCAGCTAAGAAATATTTGTGGTGATTTACATTGCACCCAACAAATACTCGATGTACCGAATGAACGGAACATATCACCAAGCACTGACTTGCCAGGAGGTTTTAGTAAGCTTTTAGTAAGCATTCCTAGTTCATTGGCAGCATAATACATCTTGCATCACGGGGTATGAGGGTGATGGTCTGGTTTTGATCAGCCTGTCGAATCAGATTAGAGCTATATCATTTTTATGGCTCGGGGGTTTATTTATCGTGAGTGATAGGTTTTAGTGGAAGATAATACTGGTTGCGTATAGCTATTTTAATCTCATTTGTGGGAACAGGTTGAGGTGACCCTTGACATTTACTACAGATTAAACGTGTTGTAGAACTTTCGTAAACGGTAATTAAGAGAATTGTGTATCTAAGGATATTTATAGATTCCATTTATTTTGATTTAATTGAAATATGAAATCATTCGAAGTGAAAAATATAGTTTCTCGTACTAAGTTAGATCATGCAATTTTCGAGCGTACTATGGACCAGGAACCGAGCATAACGCCACCGCCGCCATCGTGGAATTGTGACGTCATATCAAAAATGGATACGCAATAATTGTACTAGGAACACACGTCAAGTTTCCAAGTTTCACGTCGATCGTACCTGATTGAGGGAGCCATGGGCATTATTTAAAAAGCTTCGCCTCCAAAAACAAGAAGAAGACCAAGATGAGTAGGCTAGATGGCCATGTTACTATCCCTGTATCTAATTGATTAAAGATTACAGTGCTTATTGTCACGTATTAAGACACGATTTTTACAGTAAAATACATTATATTGGGCCGTGCTCTCAAGTCCCGGCTTTCACACCAGAGCACTAGAATTAACTTCCGGCTTGAGTCCGCTTGACACTAACGACCGTTTGTCACGTGGGGTTTTCATTTAGGCTGTCTCCTTCTCGATACCGGAGACCGTTTCGTAGTTTGTATGTTTGACTAGATTCAGCAATATATCAAGAATTAATGGCGTGATTAAGAGAGTATATTTGACAATCGTGTCATCAATTTCTAAAGTGGACTTAATCGCCCATGATTTTATTTTCTCTCAAGGCCCGTATTTTTCTCCTCTGTGAACTTAGGTTAATTGGGTTTCTTATAAAACCAGACGAATTGAAATGGAAAATGTATCGATTGTTCGCCTGACATTTTACGTTCAAAGTATTAAGCAGAGAACTTGTAGGGCTTATTCAACTTAGTTACCGTATTGATTTGTGACTCGGAAGCGACAGACTTGGCCTACTTTCTGTGCATGTATTCGCCGATGATCGAGGCACGATAGTTAAAAGACTTGGCTCGATTCCAAGTTTTAAATTGGGTAGACCTTTTCAAGCAGCACATAGCTATTGTAGTTACGTCAGAACAACGACCCTATTCTTATTTGGTACTACAGGCGACATAGTTTAACAAAAGGTCAAAAGTTCTTTAGTTTTCAGTTATGTATGTTTTTATTTATTTAATTGACATTGATGTGGCTCTAATCAAGTTGGTGTCAATGGTGATTATGTAATCCTACGGGGCTTTAATTAAAGCAGTTAGGAAGATAAATATCTATATCTCAGGTTATTGCGTTAGTTTATGAAAACGCCTCCATATTCACATGATTTCAAAGATTTATGTCTTTCATGTTGTTGTCAACACGTGAGTCGTCTTGGTGGATTTATTATGGGTTTTTGTGTAATATTTTTTTTACATTGTTACATTGCCTGAAAAACGATAATGGGTTGTTTCGATGCTCACTTCAATACTTATATGCATTATTGCAAATCCTTTTTCTGGCTTCATTTATTCACATGACAAGCCCATGTTAACTCCGGGGGGGGGGGGCTGGGTGTAATTGCCCGAATATTTTTAATGTGAATTCCTTATTTTGTCTTAGTGAGGTGTAATACTTTTAGTAGAATTTTTGCTCGAGAAATAACATATTCGCATAATATGTGATATGTACTTAAAATACTTAAATCAACTTAGTCTGTAATTGACAGTTGACACATAAAAAAGAGCTATTTATCGAAAACATATGTCACTCATTTACCACCAGAATTACACGTGAGTGGAATTATTCTAATTGCATCATTTGGTTTAAAGTAACCAATCATGTCGTTAATTGCACAGGTTCAGGGCCATGAACAGGCTTTCTCTGCGTGATCTGCAGGAGTCTTATAAAATAAATCATAGTAAAGTTGTAAGTCAGACTTGCATTAGATTCCAGAGATCGAGGGTACATCTGAGTTCCTAGACAGCCGAGAGGCTGGATAGGGTGGAGAAGTGGTTTTAGCTATATAGTATTGTAATTTGTGCTATGCTTGTATACCTGTATTCAGTTATATGCTATATAAAATTTAGAAGCGAACTATGCATTATTATTCCTGGTAAGACAAACGTCTTAAGAAACTGGAAGAAGTAAATACACAACGTGAAGCAGAAGTAAAGACAGCTAGAGACAAATTCTAGACGATCACAAGGCTACAGAAAAGATGCATGGGTCGTACGTAGGATGTGGCGACCGGTTTCCCATAGACGCTCTCCACGTCAGACAGAAGGCTCATGGTGCTACAGAGGTTGGCTGGCCAAATGATTAACGCATGCGCGGTGCATCATAAGGTCTGTCATTGAGCAACTGGTGTGGTTTCGATTCTCCGGTTGTACGTGACAAGGAGTGGGTTTTCTCTGGGTCCTCCGGTTTGCCTCCCACTGCTAAAGACCCCTATGCGCAAGCAAATTATTGAAATAAAATAGAACCATATTTTAGTCCCGAAATGACCTAGTTTGTCTCTCTTGTTTTACTTGTCTTTACTACACTAGGATCTGGAAGAGTTGAAGTGAGGGATTAGCCAATGAAACGGTCTTTTACGACGAGTTCTTGGCTTGCGATGCACGGAACTGTGGGTAAACCACTAGAAACGTCAACACTGGTTGATTAATCAATGTCTGGCGTCATAGGGTCAAAAGCCGCTCTTACGACCCCTGACTCGACCTTCCAGTACAATCGGTCAGATCTTCATGTAGTGTGGGCCATCGCAAGTATAAAAAACCGAACGAAATATAGATCTGTATTTTAGTCAGAATGTTGTTTAAATTATCTTTTTTTTTATATATTTTAGACCTATCCATGATGCTGTGGAATCCAACCATATTGAAATTGTCAGGTTGTTGATCGCCTGTGGGGCTGACCCCACCTTAAAAACTAATACAGGAAAATCGTTATCGGATATATCTGTGACGTCGTCGATGAGCCGATTCTTACAGGGTATGTAACTCTAATCACAATGTATCATTATTTGTTTTAAAGGTTGACATTTCAGAGCAAGAAATACAACGAATAAAAAACCCATGTGAATGAAGTTTTTGTATCCGAGAACTTGAAACACGTCAATTTGTCTTGCATTGGTGTCACTATAAGAAGAGGAGAGTCATCAATGGAAACCATTATTGGCGACAAGTACAACACACTATAAGTATTGCAAATGCGGAGAGCTTAATAGCGTAGGGAAGCAATTATTGAAAACATAAATGTTCTCTTTTAAAATCATATAGAGGAGAACCGTTGATTTTTTCCTGTACAGCACTCGTCGTAATTGGTTAACTCAAACTTCGGCCATTTTGGTTTGCTCCATATTGAGAAAAGTGACTTTACGGTCCAATTAACGATAATCTAATGACAGTAATGACCTTGTATAAATCAGTTAGCCATGGACTCTTCTGATTAATTTAATAATGTCTGTTTTCCAGATTGTTATCGCTTCCTTGGGCTATCTGGTCTTGATGACACCATATTGATTAATAATACTTTCAGATCATAGTCAAAGGGACTGACTTGATTCCTCTCATAAATTGTCTCTGAAAATGGAGTTTTATGATTCTGCTTAAAATCCATTTCAAATATGATGTAGTATAAAAGTTCAGTATAGATAAATTATATAAGCGCCTGAAACGAGAACAGGCAAAATGTCGGTTAGTTAGACGAACTGAGTGGTGGAAACAAATTTCTTTAATTTCGATTCTAAGTCGCATCAATTGAATGAAATATAATTAAATAGAGCGGAATTCTGATCTTCCAAAACATACCATATTGTTAAACCCGTCTAAATATCCCTAAGTGCGTCCTTCATCAATCAGAATATCCGATTATAACACGAATTTCATTACATTGATACCAATTGAAATCCCACTTTTTTGTTTGCGACCACCATTCGACTCATTATTTATCACGATAGAATCCGGTATTGGAGCAGTATTGTTCACTATTTCCATAAATGGTGATGACGTGTTTAGTAGACAATTAAAAATACAACTCAAATTATTGACGCACAAATTGGTGTGTTGCGTGAGTTTAAAACCCCATTTTTAGTAATATTTAGATAAATAAGGAACTGTTGGTGCTGCGGGCGTTGATGACAGATCTCTGATATTGTAAAATAGAATTATTTAGATAATGATGGTGCCTTAAATAACGCTTAGAATTATTGATTTCACAATCCTACGTATTTTCATCATAACCCTTACTATGTTGATAAAATCGATGTTTATAGGCGCATATTTATATATTTTTGTCGCCTGCTATGTCGTGACCCAGTTTGTCTAGCAGCGCCTGTGGATCTGACAAACGATCAGCAAGGATTAGGACCACAAGTCCGACTTCAGCTCGCAAAGCTTGACAAGAAATCCGATCTCTGGTCAGTGTCCATGCTGGTAAGCTAGATGGTCGTTGGCAACGTAAAATCGATTTCTTAAAACGCCATGGGACACAGCTACGATGAGTGATTGACTGAGATTTGCCGCTCGGGGTGGCTCGCGCGCAAGTGGTTCAGTGAGACGCAGGCACGTCGTAGAAGAGTGTGAGAACAGGCTGAGTCTGCCACCGACGCCGCATACCTTAACGGTTGCAACTTGACTAAGGACTAAGACAGTATGAAACATACTAAGGGGAATCGGCACTTACGCCGTACTGGACTGGTCTTCCTCGTAGGTCAGATCTTGCTAAACACGCAGAGTTGCCGTCTGTAACATGGGAATACTGATAGACTGTTTTTTAAAATGGCGAACTGCCGATGAGCGACGCTGAAGAAATGATCACGGTGGTTTCGGTCTTCCAGTAAAAGAGAAGAAGTTCTACTAGGAATGATTGTGGTATTATTAATTGGTGCCCTATTCGTCGCAGGTCAGACATAGTCTCGATGACATGCTCTTTATCGAGTGCAATACCTAGAATATTTGTTTTTCAAGTTATCAACTTTATTTTATATTTGTTTTTCATAATTTAGGATTTTTATAGTGTTATATAGTTAAACACAAGCTGCGCTAGTGTCATGGTAACTGGAAACCAGTAAACAGGAAAATGCCAATGACTTCGGTCGCGTGCCTCAAGCAAATAATGTGACAAAATTGTCTACGCTAAAGAAATGCGATGATTTATTCAACCCACACAAAACACACATAAATCGTCTATATAGTAACAATACATTCTATACACGCTCTGTTTTAAAATGGTTATATATATTTAAAGACCACCGTCTTCATTAGCCCAGTCAGAGCACGTTAAACCACATTTCATTTCATTTCTTTTAAGCCCCGTTGCAAGTCCTTTTTCTGGCGTCATTTATTCACATGACAAACCCATATCAATTCTATAGGCCATTGTAGGGCTTAGCTGTTGAGTGGATTAGACAATGACAGCCATATCTACGTTAAACAATAATACGGTGGCACTGCCGGTGAGGGTGATTTTAAATGACTGAAAACACGGACTTCGTTTGTTATCGTGGCCATGGTACTTGTCAACCGATAAAATGAATTGGCAATCGTCGAGCACAATTTAGGTTATTTCTTGTCAAAACTTCAAACATTCATAACTTCGTTCATAATAAATTAATTTGACTGAAATTTTCAATATATTCATTATATATATTTTTGATGTATTATAGCAAGAACAACCAGCTTTGTATCAAAATGTTACATAATGCCTGTTTTAAAAAATGGACCTATGTAGCCCATGCAAATAAATATTATCCCGAAGTTCAAAAGCCATGCGAGTGCTTCGGCTTGAGTGTGATGTACGAAACACTAAGCAAGATTTTTCTAGAATTAATAAAATGTATTAAGGTTTGTTGTTGAGGTCACGAATTTGTAATTTAAAGTCTAGATTATAAGATGCCACGTCCCAAATCTTAATTGTCTGATTCTTACCTTTAAGTTAGTATAAAGTGATAGAGTTGACAGCCCTACTATTTGTCATTTTGTTTCGAACCTGTGGTTTATTTGTTTTCCTGAATTTCGTACACTAGCAAAATCTTTGGCTTGACCTATTTATTCATATTTTTGATATTTTTTTCAGGATATTTTGGTGATATCAATGGATTTGATTCTGATGCTGAAGATAATCCATGGCATTTTTCTGGCACCTTTGACATGGGTAAGCACAACCATTTTAAATATAGAGCCCGGGATTCTTTGGGACAACAGCACATTTAACAGAAGACATGGCTTGTTCGGTTTTGAGACCGAAAGAAAATATATGGGAAATCTAAATGATTTAAATAAATGATACAAATTGAAGAACTGGTTGCAATTTATCAGGATATAAACACTTTAATTTTAACGCCTCCTCAATCATACCATGTATAATGCCATAATTATTGTGTTGACGAGACGTTAAAACACATTCCCTACATTTACTATAATCTATCTACAGTCATATAGACACCAATTAATTGTCTGGTTTTCTTCGCGCAATGTAATTTCTTCAGCCACATCATGTAAATCAAGAAATCATAGACTAATTTTGGCACTTTTCTCCCTGATTGTTCCCCATAGGTCCTTGAACACGGCTTTCTAATATTTATCTTTTCATACCGATGACGTAGTTATGTCTGGAGATCGCACGAGCTCTTTGACATGCTGATGAACTCTGCGGAAGCTTGGCATCGATTTAACGTGCTCATTTATTGGTTAGTTTTTCCCTCAGCAACTGCCAGTTAAGTAAAAGTCGATGAGGACCTCACGCACTTTATACTTAGCAATTACCCCGGTTTATAAGGCGATATATTAAAGATTGGAAGCTGCCTTTGTATACCACGCTAGTTTGGTTAATAGGGGGTAATCTTATAAACAGGACAACTCCAGTATTGGTCAGTTCTTGGTCAGTTGTTTAGTCATTATATAATTACTTATAAATGAGGTTAATGATATACAGTGACCTAGTTACCTAGTTCCATCAATGCTGGAGCTTTGATGGACTTTTAAGCCAGGAATAAATACCGTTGTCTAACTTGTCAGTTTAGTTCCGCCACACTCAACGAAAGATCGTGTATTTATTCTTTCTAAGTCTTCCTTTAATTGTCAGTTTATTTATTACTTTCTGTGTGGATTCGCTTCTATCTTGACAATGGCCTCTCGAGATTTATTAAATTTAAAGAGAACACATGTCTATGGAGATCTATTGCTTGAGTTTTAACAGTTTATACTGGCGCACATTTCAGAATTTAATTAACAAAATAGAGAGCAAAATCGATGCAGGAATACAATGGCCATTACAATTAGACATTCGGTCTTTCTACATTTACTACGAGACAATATTCAACACTGAGCTGAAGAAACAACCGGAATTCTCAATTCTGAGTGCCACAGTCTGCAAGCTCTGTTTTCCACGCCAAATTGCTAAGACAAAATTGAGACTTGAATCTTTAATGGGTATGGTAGGTGGGATCGCCTCCCTAACTGCGTGTGTTTCCCCCGGGTCCTCTGGTTTCCTTCCACTACTATCTACTACAGACCTCTAAGCGTTAAACATTATAGGCGCTAGAAATTTTATTGTATACTATATTGTATAATATTACAAGTTACCTTGTCCTCAACGACCCCCAAATGTTAAATCAATACGCGTATATAAATGTTGTGGACATTGTCATAATAAACGTTATTAAATAACTGAAATATTTATGTCTCACTGATTTTAATATTGATGTAATAAATACTAGAACATACGATGTTTCACTGTTATAAAATAAAGGAAATAAAATACTATAGCAACGCTGTTTTGAAACACTAAAGAATCTTTTATGGTAGGAATGTACCTTTAAATAATTTAAATATAATAATATCCAAACTCATCTCCACATTTCAAGCTGTATCCAGCGAAATATTGTGATTTGACTGTGTTCTAGGTAGATTCCGAGAAACCCCATGACGATTAACTATCAATACGTCGTATTAAAAATAGATATATGTGTGTTTGAAAATCGTACTCAAGAGACAAATAAATGACATTGATGGATGTTGTTCTTCCGCTTAGGAGAAATATTGGGCAATAACAATTTTCTAGAGATTGGTTACCGTTTTTTTTATAAACTTTAAATATGTGTTGTTTTTCTCCATTTCCAAAGAGGCGGGCGCGGTGTTTTTCTCCAATTCCAAAAAGGCGGGGCGCAGGGGGGGGGGGGGGGGGTCAACTGGCAGCCTATTTCCATTCAAGAGACGACCGCCTTGTCGCATTATTTCTGTTACGGTCTTGTAAATCATTTGGTTTTTTTTTCATTTTGAGTGAACCCTGTATCATTACAGGTCCGGGACAGCACGGCGTAGTGAACGCTTACGGGTGACCCCCTGACCCATTTACTTGAATTGATATTAGTTGTTTGTTTCTTGCAATGTGTGTAATTTGTCTTGCCCGCAGGGTTGTCTCATCGGTTTTGTTTTGCGTGCAGTACGGTTCTCCTGCACTATACTATTACGGTACAGGGGTCCTACTAATCACCAACAAGAACATTTTTGGTCAATGGCGTCCGAAATCTTTCAAACAATGACCGGATCTTGTCGGTGATTAGTAGGACCGCAGTGTACTGTGTGACTATGACTAAATTTAAGAATATAAATCTACTAGAAGAATGCCCGGCTTCGCCCGGGGGTCATAACCCCGAAACCGGAAGTAGTAGACTAACGCCACCTGGCCTATGTTACTCCCCGGTCCGAGCTACCCCTATACCCCAAATTTCAGACTCGGGGCAGACCTAGTGTAGCCGCCAACCCCGAACAGACAGACAAACAGACAGACAGACAAACGACAGTCACAAATATTAGTATATAGAAGATAGATTAATAGTTATAAAAACAAATCCCATATGGTAGCCCGTCGGGACACTTTCATTTGTCGTGTGGTTTTACTAGTCACGGGTATCGTTGGTCTATGGCGTTTTCATCACATCGCAGTCTATGCTTACTTATCTAACTCCCTGTCGTCTGTTTTATTCCAGAAACGAAGAAAGAAACCGGATTTGATATTTTCTCAGAAATACCTAGCGATCCAGAAGAAGATGATGAAAACGATTTGTTCGATGATGAAATTTCCTCCTCCATCAGGGTGTTCGACCTTGACCTTTATAACATAGGAAGGTAATATACGAATTCCTACTCTAACTAATCGTACACAACAAAAATTGGGTTATTCTTTTCTTGTCCTGTAACAGAACTATTTTACAGAAAATAAACCAGAACAGCTGGACTAATATATAAAATAAATGATGGGATAATCCAGGTCATTACTCTCAGACATGTATACAAGATAATTTTAATTGGTCAGTAGTCGAGAAGCCGGTTCAGACTGTTCAATATGGTAGACCTACGCAGCGAGAAGTAGGTCCTGTGGTCTCCTACATTTGATATTCGAGGCTCAATCTGATTAAAATACAGATCTATATTTCGTTTCGTTTTTTTTATACTTTCAATGGCTTACACTACATGAAGATATGACCTGTTGTAGCTATAGATCGCGTTAGAAGTCATACGAGAGACTTTTGACCCTATGCCGTCAGACATTTGATTAACCAATCAGCATTGATGTTACTAGTGGATTACCCACAGTTCCGTGCAAAACACGTCTAAAGCTCGTCGTAACAGACTGTTTCATTGGCTAATCTCTCACACCATTCAGAACACGTCAATGATAACAACTCTTCCAGATCCTAGTGTAATAAAGACAAGTAAAACGAAATTTTGAACTAATAATGAAACGAAATAGGATATGTGTTTTAATCTGATTGTTCGAGGCTAGTCAGCGCGAAAAGAGATTCGACGGGGTAGTCATGAGCATTGATCATAAAACAGCTACATATGATTGCCACAGAGCCGTCAGAATACGAAACAGTGGAAATAACATTCGGTAACAACAACGACCAGGACATTCGAGCAGAAGAGCATCTCGGTACAGGTTCACGAATTTCAAACATAAATAGTTTGATGACCATATAGATATTTTCCGTAATGTAAAATATATATAATCAACACACCACGCGCATGTAGGTAGTTCTGATTGGATCTTGTCCAAGACTACTTTGTAACATATAATCTACCGTCCTTAACTTTATGGACATAAATGCATGTGTAAAATGATCTCATTTTTATGAATTTAATATTTTACAGATCTGAAAGTTATGTATATGGTGAAGATATTCAGACACAATTTAACTGTAACGAAACACGTTTACGTAAATTGTGTACGCCGGAAATGGATGTTATCAAAATGCCCTTCTTGAAATTTAAGAGTTGCTTTGAAAGTTCTGTTGTTCGATGTCCACAGTCCACAAACCCAACAATTTGTCTTATCAAGTACGCGTATTTTAAATCTTTAAAGGACAAGCTTACACCTACGACCAAGTGCAGTAACGTATCGGAACTGATATCTTACAGAAACAAAGCTACGGAAAAGAAACTCATTGGAAAACTGGAAGATCCATCAAGAGGTTGTGATAGCCCATCCCGAAGTAATAAAAAATCCAGCAAATCCCAGTGTGTGAAGTCTTTGTCGGAACGCGACACGAAACAATCGGAGAAAGGGGCAAATTTAAAGAATCAGTCTCTTTTCAAATCTCAAAGTTGTTCGTCTGCTTTTGCGACGTCATCCAGAAGTGCCGAGAGTTCAAGTGCGGGATTAAACAATAATAATAATAACAATAATAATAATAACGTTATAAATAATAATATAAAGAATGGTACTAGTAATCTGTTCCATAAAAAACATCAATCTAGTCTTAATACGTTACCAAAAGTTGTTATTAAGAAAAATGGAACTGTAGGCTCTGATAAACAAATTAAAAAAGACAAAAAAATGAATAAGGAAAAATTGCATAAGGATAAAATGAATAAACATCCAAATAAACACTCGACTAAGGACGATACGAGGAAATTCAAAACAAGCAGTTCGTCGGATACGAAAACAACTAATTCAATTCATGCGACAGCTGCCGCGTTATCAAAATTTGCATTTGAAGACGAATGTGATTCGAATTAATGAATGTACTTTGTAAATAATTCGCTGTGTGCTGTGATATTTATTCAACGGTGTTGCTTCTGCTTTACGATTCTGTGGTTGGTAAATGGTGTGGTGGTCATGAATATGCCAAGTGTTATTATAAACGTTATGTGAAGTAAAGCTGGTGTATTGGGAACGAATGGCGTGATTGTGAATATGTATATCAAACCGTAGTGGTCAAGTCATAAATGTTTTTGAATAAATGTGTAAATATTGTTGGACATTTGAACTATAGAATTTTTACCGTGCGACATTTTTAATGGCAACAAAATACTAACACAAAATTGCTGATGTATTTTGATCGTTTGGATCTTATTTTAAGCAGTTTATGCCTGGCTTTAGATTTGTTGAATGCTTAAAGGATGCGCTGTCTTACAATGCAACTTAGAATATCGCCCCCACCCCCCCACCTTTTAATAAGAGGTCTATTTCGACCTACCGAAAAGCAATCATAGTGCCTAATTGTGATCATTTAATGTTTAGAAACCAGCTTTCTCAAATCAATCATTATGAATTATGACGAGAATGGTCCCTAAGTCGCATATTATTTTAATTTGTTCATGAAAATAATGATTCCTACAACCCTAAGTGTTTTGTTTGTAACCGGGCCAACATCGGGGAGGAGGAACCCGTTTCATTGTTTTGAAGCCATCTAGCGGTATCATCTCTATTTTTTTGATTTTAAGATAAAAAACTTTATTTGTTATTGGTGTGAGAATCAGGTGAAAGTGCATGTATACTGTGAATCATTATTAGAACTTTGAATTTGTTGAGCCATATTGTGTATAGCAAGTTTGACACTTGTTTTTATTGACTAATTTTTGAAAGGATTTTAGTGCTGTTGTTAGATTAATGATGTTAGCTTTCTTATTAGTCATCCATCTTTGTTACGTTACTATATTGTTATAATTGAAAGATTCATATATAATTAAACATTACTGTTCCATTTTTAGTCGGTAATAAAAACCTATGAAACGTTAATTTTACTGCAGCACATATAAAGTTTACAGTGAAGCTAGGGCATGGCAAAATGCCCATAGAACAGCTTCTCGTCCGTACCATACAATCTCCGTTGTTTTTCCAGCCATCAAATTCGTAGCAATCCAATTGGCTGAAACAATTCAAATTTCAGCCATTCATGTTCAGATAATACTAGTCTAGTTTATCCAGTTGAATTAACCTGATAGGGAAACTGAAATCTAGTTATTTCAGACGTCCAGTCCGTCTATCAGACTTGAGTCGAGACTAGTGCTTCTTATCTAAATGAAGCTACATTACTGCAGCTGGATTTTTGTTGGACATAAAGAGTTCCTTGGAATACCAGTAAAATGTGAAACAATGTTTCTTAGGTTTATATTACCCCCATGCCGTACTTGTGATATCATAATATAATCTTGTAGTTTATCAAAATACATCCCTCTGCTACTCATCGTAATGTTCAGAAGGTATTCCATGCTTCCCAGCAGAGCTCAGGTCAGGATCTTTTGACTTGGTAAAGAGCGTAGCTACTAAATTATGTTCAAACTCGATTGGACGAAACTCATTTTTTAATACGGTGAAGCATCATAGGATTGTATTTTGATAGCTTATATTATAAGAGCTTTGAGAAGTCATCGTGAAGTGATTGTCATTATTTTACTGTTATTTGGATACATGTATTATATGAAATAAAACAATCATGAAAAATATCTCAATAAAAAATGAAATATAAATTTATTCGTGTTTTCTTCATTATTGGAAGCTTTCCCCTTAAAATGCCTTAAATGAAAATGAATAACATGAAAAAGAATTCTACTGGGACAGCGGTATTACAGTCCACTCTTACACCGAATTCCGGCTGTCAAGGGTTCTTTTACGTGCACGCTAATGTGTACACGGGATCTCGGTTTTTCGTCCCATTCGAACAACGATACGTTGTCTCTTGCCCGGCCCTGGAAATCTGAAAAGTGGGAACCCGCCGGAAAATCCGATGAGAGAGAGAAATTGGGTTTAACATCCACTCGACACAAATTAGGTCATTTCGGGACTAACATATGGTTTAATTTTATTTCAATTATTCGCTTGCGCGTAGGGGTCTTTAGCAGTGGGAGGAAACCGGAGGACCCGGAGAAAACCCACGAGGTTGGACAGGCGACCTTACTCCTTGTCACGTACAACCGGGGATTCGAAACCACACCAGTCGACTCAATGACAGACTCTATGATACAGCGCACGCTAACCATTCAGCCATCCAACCCCCCGAAAATCCGATGAACTTTCGCGACCAACACCGGGATGAAACATGAGACTTCCAGGTTAGCGAGAACATCTTACACACTGAGGCACCGCGGCCCAGTTGCTTTTCATATCTGATCCGCGTGAAAAAAGATGCCTTTCCACGTACAAAATGGGATTTGGTGATATATTTGGACTAAAAACATTCAGACTAATTTATCAAAGAATTGTTTCAAATCCCCCTCAACACATTTTAATCGCAAGGATCTACCTCATGCCGTAAAAACATTTCTAAACAGTCATGTTTGTTATATGTTTCACAAATGGTCCATTTTAGACCGTATTTGTTTTACTTGCTGCGCTGTTCATTTACCATAAATATCAAAGTCTTGGATTATACTCTGCCAAATTCATCTTGCGACGTTTAATCGCAGACTCTGCTTGGTACGTGTATACCTCGCCCTGTCCTCATAACAGTCAATAAAATGCCAAGCGCTCCCTATATCACTCGAACAGACAAAGAACGGATAGGTTGCTATTAAGTGACGCCCCTTACATTCTGCCTGATGTTTCATAATATATGCCTACATATAGGCCTACTTTATGATATTACAAGACTATAATAATGGTTAACGTCAAGTATTTCATGACGAAGACTTTCAAAAATAAATAAAGTAAGTAATTTGATCTGAAGAAAAAAATATGGATAAATGAGCAATCACAACACTAATTGCTTAAATCAAAGACCTAGTGCTATTTAAAGGAGCTAAATCGCTAACATTTGGGACCTAGAAATTGACAAAAGTGGGTCGCAACGCATATTATACTGTAATAAGAATGGATATAAACTGATTTACATTCAATGGTTTCCGTTTTTACTCCAATTTCAAATCAGTTATGTTCGGCGAAATAAGCCAGCAGTCTCAAGCGAGTGCAAATTTCTAGCGTCTGGTTATTCCAGTCTACATACGCCGTTTGATTTGGTGCAATGTGTCTAGCCTTGTCCCTCGAGTTTCTTGAAAAATCGGCCCCGTTTGTCGCGACGCAGGAGCGCCATCACGTGGTGATCTCTAAAACTATTATGGCCATTTCCGCCTTCATTTCTATCTGGTTTGGAGCTCAAAGGACGGCAATAAACTCGCTCTAACTTGACTGAATGAAAAATCTAACATACCTTTCGACTTTGTGGAATAACAATCTATAATTCTAGTGATCTTTTTTTTGAAAATCTTATCGGATTCCTGAGAACAGATGTATTTTCTTCATGATCACCATCAAAACATTGAAGAATCGATTATGTCGTAAATTTTATGTTAATTAGATTGCCATTACTTAGATTTTCCTTTTTCTCACTGTTTTATTGTCGATTTGGGATGATACGAATATTTAGTATATATTAAAGACGTCTCTATTCATTTGACCTCATTTGACGTTTAAACATATATAATGTACATGAATTTTAGGTACTATTTTTTTTTTGGCGGATGAATACAGCTGTTCTGTATTGTATTCTGTTGTAGACTGTGAAAATTTTGGATCCATGTGTCGACGCTTTAAATCACATGGATCCATTAAACCTTCTAACTGTTTAATTCCATTTTTTTCATTGAAGATTCTTATATTACAAATCTTTCCTTACACTAGAAACGTAATCACTGGATACAACTGGGGCTGAAGCGCATTATGATACACGATTCGTGTACCAATGGTAAAATGTTTATTTTGTCTTAAATATTGGATATCAAAAGCCCATCTTTTTCCGGTAAGATCACAACATGAATGTTGATTTAATTTGACAAATAAATCGTGTTTTCAATGAAGATTTTGGATGATATTGAGTTAGAGACTTAGCTACTTTAAGGTTGTTAATTAATTAATTATTTCATGATAACTATATTTTAAAACACGGCTCTGTCCTCTACAAAACCGGAAGGGCAAACATAGAACTGTTGACCTAATTAAAGCACCTGCCCACCCATGTCTTTTATCTAGGTTATCAATTCGGTCGAGAAACGCGTTTGGCGTTAAAGGTGATAGTCCATCAGCTTTTATGTTCTAGTAAACAATTTTAAGAAGACAACTGTTAGAAAATTTTGCTTGTCCCAGTTCACGCGTTACCCTGTGTTACATTATGCGTAAGTAACATCATCAACTTCATCAAATGTTTCATCATGGCACCTTAACCAAGCTTAAAATATTGCTTTGGTTTAGTAAACTGGTCAAATTTGTTTATAACCTGGAAGACATGTTTCTGCCCTTTCCAAATGACAATTTCTTTTTCCGATCATGCGGTTGTAGCTATAATCGACATAATACAAAGAGGTGACCCATATTCGATAATGTCTTTTGGCGTCAATGCACCGATTTTTGTAGATTTGGAAGCAAGGAGAAAGTAAAATGTTAAACCACATTAATTGTGTCACAATGAACCACGGTGTGCTACAATCATTACTGCTCTGATTTATTGACATTCAGCCATAATGAACCAAAGGGAGTAATGACAAGTTGAGTACCATTATACAAAGATGCAAATCTATATTTATTCAAATGTTTGGTTCTTTTTTTTAACCAGGAATCGCGCCCGAATCCAAATTCATCTTCTTGTTGTTTTTCTTCTTGGAACGGCACTCTTCGACAATGAGATCTTCACGGAACTTGGCATGTATGGACAATAGCGCGTCGGTAGATTGACGTCGGATATTGATGATATGACGTCACATTTCCAAGATGGCTGTGGGGATGTCGTGCCAAGACGGCCATATCAAAATGGCCAATGGCCATAAAAAATCAACAAGACGAATTAAAAAATATCCTTGGAAAGACTGGACCGTCGAAAGTATAACAAATAAACGAAACGAACTTTAGATCCGAATTTTAATACGATGGCTAATCTTCGATGGAGATTATATATTAGGGCAACGTCGCAGATTTTCCTTCATGGCATATATCCGTCTTAGTACGTTTGGTGCAGAAAAGTACGTTAAACCCTCATTCCGTTTTTTTTTTTTTTTTTTTTTTGCTTCCCCCTGTACATGTTCTGAATTTTCTTGATATATTGTTGTTAGACGAGGGCGTTTTTTGTTTTTCTATTATTCTCCCTTATGTGTCCTGTAAAAATCACGCAGAACTGATTTTATTGCATATTAGCAAAAGTAAAACGTAGCGTATTTGGTACATGTATTTAATATATTTTTTTCGTGTGTAAAATTCCAGTTTCTGTGTTTTGTCTAAGTGACCTCCGGTTATCCCAGATATATGCCAAGATGGGGATAGAGACCATGTATTTTTCAAAAATTTTCACGGCCGGGGTAAGAGAGCCCGGACCCCGCCCGCAAAGATACATTGTCTCAGGAACCTGACAAACCCCCTCATGCAAAATTTTTTCGGTCCACCCCTGCATACCACTGTCTTTGAAAGCCAACATGATATTGCCTTTTCTACATATATGCAAAGTATTAGAATATTCTAAGATGTATAAGTGTATATACATGAAGTTCGGTATGATGACCAATATGTACACCTCATTATCATTATAAACCTGGTTATAAGGTTGTGATCACGATCAGGTGGGTTATCACACAGAGGGACCCACCGTCGTAACCAAAGGTGAAACTTATTTTATTCGTCGGTAAGTTTGATTAAAGATGAATTATTTAGGAGCTAAACCTGTCGATCGCAGGTCTTGATTTTGGCTTCAAATGTTATACATTTAGACATTTATTAACATATCAAGCCCATAAATTATCTGATGGCAGAGATTTAAATGGATTTGAATGACCGCGAGATTAAAAAAAATAACGATAAAATGTATAATTAAGACACATTCTTAATAAACCATCTACGCTACACCTTCAAACACCCATAACTTTACTGAGAATAAAGTAATTTAAATTACATTTTCAATATTTTCATTATTTATTTTTGAACTATTATAGCAAAAAAAGCCAGCTTGTTATCTAAATCTTGCGTAATGCATCTTTAAAAATCCAATTAAGAAAAAAAGTTATACACTTGTTAGAAGTAATATATTCATAATTCTTTGACTGGGTGTAATTGACCGATTATTTTTAATGGGAATTCCTTTTTTTGTCTTAGTGGGGTTGGCTGGCCAAATGATTAACGCATGCGCTTTGGATCAGAAGTTCTGTCATTGAGTTAAGTGGCGTGGTTTCGATTCCCCGATTGTACCTGACAAGGAGTAGGGTCTGTCCAACCTCGTGGGTTTTCTCCGGGTCCTCTTTTCTCTCTCTTGGTCTTAGTTTAAAAATTTTATTGCAACTATTAGGTGGGGTTAACGCCTGGTTTCAACTAGGTTTATATTACTAATAAGTTCTTAAATTCTTTAATCGCATTAATATACTCATAAATACCTTTACATTTACTGCAGATGTTGGTCTCAGCAAATCCACAAAATGGTGAACACACTCCATCACTTTCATGTGGCCGATTTTGTAATATTCAGTGTTACAATGGCTATTTCTATAGGAATTGGAATCTA